AAGAAGCCGATCATATCTTTTAGCTCCCATCGATCTCGGTTGGCATTCACAGTGCCTATAGTTGCATCGTTCTGACCAGTTAGACGGAAGTGTGTAGCTCTAAAGGCTGCAAATAGGACCATGAACTGTGTTACTCCGTGAGTTTTGCAGAATTGCTGCAGTTTACTGTAGAGTGGGCCATCGATATCAAGCCTTTGCTTTCCGGCCTGTCCAGATAAAGCAGTAGGTCGGGGTTTGTCGCACAGCAGCTCAGCTGGCCTGCTGGTATTCAGCTGATTGGACCAATATTCGAGCTGACTCTGGTCATTGTCAATCTGGGCTTGTTGTCTCTGCCACACTGAAAAATCCCGATACTGGATAGGCAGAGGTTGCACACAAGAAAGCGGATCCTGGCCTTGTATTGAGGCTGAGTAGAATACGCCCAACTCTCGTGTAAGTACATCAGTAGACCAGCCATCAGAGACAATGTGGTGCATAACAATCGACAGCACATGGTCTTCTTTGCTGATGCGATAGATCGAAACTCTCCACCCAGCCTCAGTGCGTAGGTCAAAGGGAGTTGTCTGGTCTCGGTGCACAGCATCTGTGAGGCCCTGTTCGTCTACGTCGACGACGTTCATTACCCTAGGATGGAACGGCTGAACCACCTGCATGCTTGCATCTCCAATAGTTTCGAAAGTTGTCCGGAGAGTTTCATGACGGTTCTCAATCGCATTTAGCGCAGATTCTAGAGCAGAGAGCTGCAATAGGCCCCGAATGCGCACCACAACTGGCATGAGATACCATGTCAGACCAGGGTGTAGTTCTTCCAAGAACCACATTCGACCCTGTGCAAATGATTGCGCAACAGGCCCACCACTTCCAACATGCGGAATGGCAGCAGTAGAGCCGCCAGCCGAAGCAACTGCTGCAGAGGTCAACTGATCCAGCGTGGGATTGCGGAAGACGACTGCGACGCTGATCTGTATCCCTGACCTACGTGCTTCGCCCACCAGCTTCATAGCCGCGATTGAGTCGCCGCCCAGGCTGAAGAAACTGTCGTCCATACCGATGAACTCTGAATCAATGCTAAGTATCTGCGACCATAGTTTCTGCAGTGTCTTTCCTTTTTCTGTGTTTGGTTGTCGCTTTAGACTATCGCCTCGTGTCCGCAACTGGGCCAACTGTTGCGTGGAAAACGATGCCCCAATTTTACGCAATCGCTGCCTGTCTACTTTGGCGGACGTTGTTAATGGAATTTCCATCACTGCAAAGTATACTTCGGGCACCATATTTCTTGGTAGTCTCTGAACCAGCTGCTCGTCCACTTGGGTTGGAAAGATGACTTGCACTTCGGAGTCGCTGTCAGAAATCTGGCTGATGAGTGTGTGATGCGTCTCTTCGCTCAGCTGCAGAAACGCTGCCACCATTGCTTTACCCTGGTCTCCCGTAGGTAAAATGACCTCAGCTGCCAACTGTTTGACGCCTGGCATGCATTGGTGGAGATGGTGCTCAATCTCACCCAACTCAACTCGTTGGCCGCGCACCTTGACTTGGCTATCTTTTCGACCTACATAGACCAAGTCACCATTTTCATTATAGTAGACTAGATCTCCAGTTTTGTACAATCTTCCCTGCCGTCCGGTACGGTCGTCGCTGCCCTGCATCAGCCAGGGGGGGTTGCTGACGAAGGCAGCCTCAGTCTTCAATGTGTCGTTGAGATAGCCACGGGCTAGAATCGGTCCCTCTACTAGAAGTTCTCCAATCTCACCAAAGGGTACCAGCTGGTTGTGGTCGTCCGGGTTAGTCACCCAGCTGACTGAAGCCATTGATCTGCCGATCATCCCTGACTGGAAGTCCAGACCAGTGTTTTCATGGAAAGTGCACCAAATACTACACTCTGTTGGTCCATAAACGTTTATTTGTACGACACTGTGATCCCATCTTTTCCAGTCGGCTTCGTCCACTCGTTCTCCTCCAAGCACGAGCACTTTTAGGGACGGAACTGTTAGGGGATCAAGTAGACGCGCGACTGTTGGCGTGAGTTGCGCCCAGTTGATATTGTTGTTGTTGATGACTTCTGGCAAGGCGTTACGTCGGTCGTCTTCGGAGGGAATGCAAACACATCCGCCAAATATCAATGTAGTGAATATCTCAGCGATGCAAATGTCGAAAGTATAAGCCGCAAACTGGAGGGCTCGAGAGTTGGGACCAAGTCTCATTGCTTTCCCGTGAGCTAGACAGCTTGTCGTGATTGCTCCATGCTCCAAGACGACGCCCTTCGGAACTCCAGTACTGCCAGATGTGAACATCACATATACAGCATTCCATGGCTCGACTTTGGAACAAACTTTAGTCTCGACTGATAACTGGTTGATCAAGGCGTTGCTGACTGCAAGAATCTGTTGCGTTGAATTTGGCCAAAGATTCGCGTATTGTGCGGAAGTAAGTACCACCTTAGCTTTAGTCTGTTTAAATATCTCTTCGTGGCGAGACCTTGGGTGAGATGGATCTAGCGGAACAAATGCACCGCCAGCTTTTAGAACAGCAAGCATGGCTACCACTGTCCATATTGACTTCTCAAAGCACAATGGTATCATTTCCTCGGCCACAACACCTAGACCAGCTAGGTAGCTCGCTAGTTGCGTTGAATGCTCATCCAATTGCTTGTAAGTCATCTCGCCGTCCCATGAGCAGATGGCAGGCGCGTTAGGTCGAACTTTTGCTTGCTATGCGTACAAGTCGTGAACGCAATGCTCGACCGCTGGTATGATCCCGAAGTTTCTCTCCCATATTCTGTCGACATCACCCTTATCCATGTCGAGCTCTAGTGGTTTTCCCAAGTCACCCATTGTGAAAATGGCTGTTTTGTCTTGTTGGATCAGGGGTTTGGGGAGAAAGAGTTAAATGCAAAGCTACTGAAGCCGTTGATTTCAGTTTGAAGAATCTGAGTATCGGGGTTTGGCCATGCCATTCCGCAGTATTTAAGTGGGCGGAGAAAAGCACAAGGATTGTTTGACAGATTGAAATCAATAGGCTGATATTACCACAAGACAACAACAAGGCATCAAAACGCTATGATACTGAGTACATCCCACGATATACACCGCCAGTTCGATCGTCGATTCGACTACAACAGCACAATTACGACCTCTCCACAGCCTGCTACAGACCTACTTCCATGTTGGAAATGAGATCTGACTCGCTACCACCGTTGTTATGTCTCCGCAATCGGTACGAGTACAGCCATGACAGTGCATTGAAAGTTTCTCGATTCGATTATCGCCGCGTCTACCAAAGTCTCCACTGTGGCCCGCTTGCGTTGTGGGTACAGAAAAGACCTATCGGTCATAAGCTGATGTGGCGATGTGCTCCTTCATTGTCGCCTAGTGCCGAGGGACTTGGGAGACTCCTCAGGATCGGGAAAGTCGCTGTGTTTTATGGATCGTCACTACGTATTTCTAATAGTATTAGCCCGCTAGAAATCACGCTAGAACAGTTGTGCCGAATTGTACTCAGAGGAAAACTTCTTGCGGTGCCGGATATAGGAGCATCAGATGTCATCAGGCGCTGAGTTGTTCAAGGGCTTACCTAGTAAAAGGTCGTGTATATTTTGCTTGGCTTGTTGGAACCCAGATAGCATCTTTTTATGACTACTGTTTCTTGCGTCTCCCCACAGAACATGCGGACACACGGGGCCTTGGCCTTATAGTATTTTAACGCTGTGACGTAATGTTACGATACATAGTGATTTGTAAGTTTTGATCGATTCGAATAACGTCTATTGAAGGCTTGTACGGGTACGCTTAGACTGTCAAACTGAACCCCTACCCACACGTGTGTAAATGTCCCGAAGAAGTTACATGAGGCTAGTGTGCCGAGAGTGTGGACACACTAGTGGGTTACTCCTCAAGCATGGTACTCCAGAACCCGCTTGCCGGTGGTAGCGGAACTGTCCGGCAAGCTCGACCAGGGTAATTAATGCCCGGGCGGATGCTATGTACCATGCCCGGCCGGCATGCCGAGCCACCCAGCGCCCAGCCAAGTACCATATGCCCACATCGAACACCGAACAGTACGTAATTAAAATTGCAGCATATTCTTGGTGCAGTGCAATCAGATTGTAGTTACAGCATGTAGTACCATAATTACTAGCGCGCTTAGTTCCTCACCATGTGTAGGTTAGAAGAGTATTCATTGAGAGAAAAGTCGGTTTGCAGTTAGTTATAGTTCCACTGCTAAGAACCATACCTTATATATTGGACGAGGTGTTTATAGTGATAGGGCTTTTTGGTATTGCGTCAATGGTCTTCATAGGCTACTCAGGGGAGGCAAAAACCGCAATATTTGCTGCTTTGATGGCGAATTGAGTGACAAGTATCGCGACAGTTCTATACTGCGATCTAGATGAATATGTGCCTCCTATCACTGCTCCGTATCCGAAGCCAAGCGTCATCGCAAGATGTAAATTAAATCGGGAGACATCGATCGAGCGATGTGAGCTCGATTGCACCATGGATTATGGTTCGACTTAATGGTGAAGCTGCATGCAATCCATCGAATACCAAGCCGCCGCCGGGACGAATAGGAACGGCCCGACCAGTTGCCCAAATTAGACATCAGTGGGTTTTCAATGCAAGATTCGGCGATAAACATCTTTCCCAAGCGCGATCGCTATCTTTCGGTAAAGGTTCTCGTCACGATGCCATGTGGGCTATTGAGCACAGCCCGGAAGATGAGACACGTATGCCTTGTGCTCTCAACCCCAACTTCTCGATGTGGTCTAGCATACCAAGCAGTAGAAAACTCAGGGATGAGATATCTGAGCAAATAAGGTTGGAGGATTCTTTTCTTCTTGTATTCACAAGCTCGGTGGCACTGACTTGGAGAGTTCTCACTCCACCTGATGCAGAAAGCATTTTTTAACATAAATCGGCTTTACCCTTAGTGAATTTGTGTTGTCTCATAGTTTCATCACAAAAACACTTCTTAGATTCAGCTATCCTTAGTTCCTTTGAAAGATGGAGCCTGATGCTACAGACTCCAAAGCGACCGGGTTGGCCCTTTCTGGCTATGCCTTGTTGCGACAAATCCCACTGTCAGTAGTGGTTGCTGCTTTCATCGTCACAGGTTCTGTGTACTTCCAGCGTTTCAGATACAAGTCCCAGATGGCGAAGTTCCCAATCATTCTAGAGCATCTAAGTAATGAGGAACGACGAGCAAAGTTTCTAGCTGGAGCAAAAGCCCTCTATAAGGATGGCCATCAGAAGGTATCTCACTCGGAAAGGACCTCGTTTTTCGCTAACATGTCACTAGTTTAGAGGATTGGCTTACAGGATGCAAACTTTAGACGATATGCAATATGCGCTGAGACTGTGGTTCAATGACTAAACTATCGTAGAGGTGCAAATCGTCCTCCCGTTTTCCATGTTATCTGAGCTTCGGAAAGCTCCTGAAGAGGTTCTGTCTTTCTATGATATGTTTTCAAAAGTACGTAGCTTGTGCAAAATAATAGATTTGGTCATTAAACCGGTTTTAGGGTTTAGAAGAAACCTACACTTATGTGGACATTGCATTTCTACCACAAGTTGTCGATACAATCAAGAGGGATCTTACACCCAAGCTAAGTAAGTATGATTTTTCTTCATCATTTATAGAATGCTAACATAAGTAGCGAATATCACCTCTAAGATCTGTGAGGAGGTCGATGCAGCGCTGGAGACATACCTTCCATCCCACAACGAGTGGACGGAAATCAACGCATCAGAAACAGCTCTGGATATCGTCGCAAAAGTCTCGGCTCACTTGTTCATTGGGTCCAGTGTTGCTAATGAACAAGGCTATCTTGATTGCACAAAGAACTTTACTGTTCACCTAGGCGAAGCTACAAAAGCGATTAAAGTTACACGAGTGTGGCTCAGACCTTTCCTAGCTCCTCGACTACCGGAGGTCAAACGCCTTCTTGAGACAAGGAGAAAACTAAGAAACTATGTCAAGCGCGTTATGGAAGAGCGAGAGGCTAAGATGAAGGACCCGAACTGGGACCCACCTGATGACATGATGCAATGGCTTCTCAATCGAACTGACAGGTCAAAAGACACGTTGGAAGACTGTACAGCTGCGCAAGTCCTTCTCATCTTGGGAACTATCAATGCATCTATGCAAACACTTATTGCCATCTTGCATACGCTAGCGGTAACCCCTGAGTATATTGAGCCGCTCAGGGAAGAAATTCGAAACACCTTGAACGCCGATGGATCGATTCCAGTCAGCGCGATGAAGGAGTTCGGAAAACTGGACAGTTATTTCAAGGAGGTTGGCATGCATTTCCCGGTCATCATAGGTACGTTACTATGCATGCTTCTTGAGAAAAGCTAAAACATAAATAGAGCCATATTTCCGACGAGTCCGCAAAGGCTACACTCTCTCCAATGGACAGTACCTACCTCCAGGCGTAGCTATCGTTATTGTAAACCCACTCGTCACAGATCGCGAATTTGAAACTTTTGACGGATTCCGACACTACAAACTACGCGAGATGAGCGCACAAAAGGATAAACCTCAGCACCGATGGTTGATTGCAAATGAAACTGAGTTCAGATGGGGTTATGACAACCATGTCTGCCCTGGTAGATTCTATGCGCATAACCTGCTCAAGATCACCCTTGCCAGACTGATCGAGAACTACGAGATCAAAATGCCAGGAGATGTCACGGGAATAGAGGCTAGGTACAAGATGGTTGAATTTGGAAATGTTGTGATGGAACCAAGAGATAAACCGCTCATGATCAGGAGGATACCAAAGGAGGCTTGAAAGAAAACTATGTTCTTGGCAAATGACCCTGGGATGACAAGGTACACTATTGAATATGCTTCATTTAAGCAGTTGACAAGTGAATTGGTAGTTAGATAGACAATCAATAGCGAATCCTCGCTGCAGTATGGTTTTGGCGTGTATCACGTGATCAGTCATTAGTATCGTCCAAACGACTGAGATAGTACTATCCCTCCACGTGTGGCGGAAAACCCTGTGTGCCGGCATGCCAGCCATACTCTTACCCACAACAGACGCAGCCACAGTTCAGGAGCGTACATAATCTCGGGATAGAGACTTTGATTTCTTAATATCCCCTGCGCTTCGTCCCTTTGCAAGGAAATGCTTTCGTGGCCAGCAATACCATAATTCGCTACTGGCATGTGTAGCAATCCTGGCTCGGTCAGCCTCGGATGCGCTAGATGTCTTGTGCATATATCTAAGAGTCTGTCAAACTATTTAAATATATATAAGGAGTCTATCCCGAGCATCACGCTGCAATATATCATCTAGGGGCGTTGTAGTGCAGGTTTAAAGAGCAGTGCAGCACTAGAGCGCGCTACCTACGAGTCGTATGCAGATACTAAAAGCAGACTAGTAGTATTCTGTAAGCGCTGACGTTAGTTCTTTATACTGTCAACATAGCTTAGGCGTGTAGCTAGAACCAAGCATGACTCGCTCGAGCTTGAACGCACGCGTGACACTGCACTATTCTCTACTAACGCCTGTTTTAAAAGTATTTAGATAACAACTAGTAGTTACCAATACATTTATTGCAAGAATATTTTCAAAAAGATAAGCAACCAAGCGCATGCGTGTGCTTGGCCCCAGCCTTGGACCCCACAAGTGGCTGCTCGAAGTCGTCAGGCTGCGGGATGCATAGCCGCCAGGCTGAGGCCGAGGAGGTGCTGTGCCGCAGACCATTACCGCAGGCCATCACTGCAGGCCATTACCGTAGATTCTATCATTGACACACTACTAATGGTGCAGTCTTCTACAGCGATGCCATGGTCTCTACGACATCCAACATAGCGTTCGGCAACGCATACAAGAGCGTCCAAGCTAATAATATCAACGGCTCTATCCACATTGGTACGTCGCGGGACCGTCCGAGGACCGTCAAGCCGTCCAGTAGACATTGCACGCGCTAAGCAGACACGTCAAACAGGACTTGAGAACACACTCGACCGTCTCCCGCGCGCCGAAGATGCGCCCTTTAACTCGTACGCCAAGCAGCACGAGCCTATATGTCTCGCTGACACGCGCGTCGATCTGCTACAAGAGATATACAGCTGGGCAGACGGGCAAGACGAGCGGTGCATCTTCTGGCTGAGCGGCCTGGCGGGCACAGGCAAGTCGACGATCGCGCGGACGGTGGCGCGCAGCTACTACGACAAGCAGCGTCTGGCAGCCAGCTTCTTCTTCTCGCGCGGCGGCGGCGACGTCGGCCACGCAGGTAGGTTCGTGACGAGCCTTGCGGTGCAGCTTGCGCGCAATGTGCCAGCATTGAAGCAGCGCATCAGCGACGCAGTTGTAGAGCGCGACGACATTGCTAGCCAGTCTCTACGCGACCAGTGGCAGCACCTCGTTCTCCGCCCGTTGTCGAAGCTGCACGGACTAGAAGCGGGGCAAAGAACATATATCATAGTCGTTGATGCGCTCGACGAGTGTGACAACGATAGCAACATCCGCATTATCGTGCAGCTGCTGGCTGAGGTGCGGTCGTCGTTGACAGGCGCCCGGCTGCGGGTGTTGCTGATAAGCAGGCCAGAGGTGCCAATCCGACATGGGTTTGGGAAGATAGCGGACTCAGAGCACAAGGATGTCGTGCTGCACAACATCTCGCCATCAATCGTTAACCACGATATAGGACTATTCCTTGAGCACTATCTTAGGATCATCGCAAAAGAATGTAACCAGGCGGACGGTTGGCCAGGTGTAGAGACTATTGGACGGTTAGTGCAGAGTGCGTGCGGCCTGTTTATCTGGGCTGCTACTGCCTGTCGCTTCATCCAAGAAGGCGGACCGTTCGCTGCTGACCGACTGCGTGCTGTTCTTAAGGACAGCTCCTCTATAGACAGCAGTTCGGCAAACAACAGCTCATCTAGCGACTCTGGCACAGACGAGCACTTCGAGATTCTGCCCGAACAGCGATTAGACAGCATATACCTTACAGTGCTTAGGAGCCCTGTTCGCAGATACAGGAAACAGGAAAGGAAGAGATGGTACACGCTAATTAGAGAGACACTTGGGGCGATTGTGCTTCTACAATCGCTGCTTTCTACTTCTTCACTAGCTCAGCTACTACGTGTTCCTGTAGAGGATGTGCATCGAACGCTATATGAGCTACACTCGATTGTAGATGTCCCACAAGACCCAAACTGGCCAGTGCGATTGCATCACCCCTCGTTCCGCGACTTTTTACTCAATAGGAAGAGATGCAACGACGATAGCTTCTGGGTAGAGAAAAGCGGTACGCACGAGAGGCTGGCGTCTCGCTGCCTAGAGCTCATGTCTACGCCTAGTGGCCTTCGACAGGATATGTGCAATCTCTCAAATCCTGGAGTTTTACGGAAAGAGATCGACGAAGAGACAGTTGATCGTAACCTGCCGCCTGAGCTGCAGTACGCGTGCCGCTACTGGGTCGACCATCTCGAGCGCAGCGGGTGTAGTGTTAAAGACGGAGACGCCACGCACCACTTCCTCGAGAAACACCTTCTTCACTGGCTTGAGGCTATGAGCCTACTCGACGAAACGAGTCTATGCGTGCGACTACTAGCAAGGCTACAGGCGCTAGCGAAGGTAGAGCATTCCTATCTAAGTAATTATCGTGTTTCATGCTAACCTAAGTGTAGTCGTCTGATAGTGTCGTTGCTAAGTTCCTTCACGATGCCGTCCGGTTTGTGCTGCGATTCGTACTAATACTAGCTAAGGCCCCCCTCCAGATATATTCTTCAGCCCTTCTCTTCTCGCCCGAGTCAAGCGTTGTGCGAAAGGTGTTTATTGAACAGGTACCACAGGCAGTGAGAGTGATTTCCGGGAGAGACGTAGAGTGGGACGCATGCCGGAGTGTGCTGGAGGGCCATTCACGAGAGGTCAGGGCGGTGGTGTTCTCGCCAGACGGGCATCTAGTCGCCTCAGCATCCAACGACAGCACAGTGCGGGTATGGGAGACAGCGACGGGCCACTGTCGCAGCGTCCTGGAGGGCCATTCAGGTTGGGTCAGCGCGGTGGTGTTCTCGCCAGACGGGCAGCTAGTCGCTTCAGCATCCGGGGACAGCACAGTGCGGGTGTGGGGGACAGCGACGGGCCACTGTCGCAGCGTGCTGGAGGGCCATTCACAAGAGGTCAACGCGGTGGTGTTCTCGCCAGACGGGCAGCTGGTCGCCTCAGCATCCGGGGACAGCACAGTGCGGGTATGGGAGACAACGACGGGCCAGTGTCATACCGTGCTAGAAGGCCAGCCTTCACCTATCTTTCGCATCGCATTTTCGCCAGATGGCCGGATCCTTCGCACAGACAAAGGGGATATCCCCCTACCGTTAGATCTTATCGCTATTGTATCCGCCCTTCCAGCCCAAGAACTGCCATATGCTACAGTAAAAGGCGAATGGGTATTGCGTCAAACGCGGCGGTTTCTATGGCTTCCTCCCCAGTATCGCAACTGTGCCACGACAGTGTATAGGCACACAATGTGTCTAGGGTGCCTTTCAGGGCGTGTAGCGTTTCTTAGTTTCTAGTATCAGTGCGGGTAGAATACCGCTAAGCCCCGTGCGGCATTTCTGTACGTCTTGTAATTAGCGCGCCTTAGTTGTCAATCCTGCTCTGTAGAGCAACAGACTTGCGCAACAGCACCGCGACCTAGGATGCCGTAGTATCTCGCTCGGGATACACTCTTTGTGCGTCTTTGTATAGCTTGGTAAACTCTTAAACACATACGTCAAACCTTGAGCGCGTCCGAGGCTGTCCGAGACGGGGCTGCAGGGTATGCTGGCGGCGAGCTGTGGTATTGCTAGTCAAGCAGGAATTTATAGGCGACGAGATAAAGTACCAAGAGATCTATGACGCTAAGGAATCTATCCCAAGATTCTCTGGATCTCTCCGCTGCGTTTGGCTTTGTTAGAGTGGAAGCAATGCCGGCATGCCGCCACACAGGGTTTTCCGCCACACATGGAGGGATAGTATCCCTCACAATCTACAGGAAAGAGGTACTAAATGCAAAGATCGTCTCGAAGAAGAAAGTAATACATCCTTGCGCAAAACAACGGGTCCCTCGGACGTGACGGTGATCTCACTTCCTACCTTCACCTCTCTTTGCATCTCTCGTCCTCTGATTATACAATTTGTCCTGTTTGCCAGCATTTGGCTTTCCTTCAATTCTATCCAGCGAATCCTCAATCAGTCCAATATGCCCACGTATCGTCCCCTCAATCTCGTCCAACCTTGCTTCCTGCTCTTCCTCCATACGGTCTAATTTCTTTTCAACTCTCGATCCTAGGGCACTCTTTTAGTATTCGAACAGCAGGCCCAAGATTTATATACGGAATGCTGTGTTACCTAGCAGTGTCGCGACGCCAGCTACCACTGCGAGATTTGTGCTGACGAGGACGAGATCGTTTTTGAATAAGTTGCGTAATGCCATCATTTGTTCGTTACAAGCGGAAGTACGACAGTAGATATGATATATTATATGAAATGTAAAGAAGTTATTTAGAGTACTGCATGCACTGGAAGCTATTAAAGAGGGTGCTTTTGGCACTAGCATCACAAGGTCATGACGACACAAATTATGGTACGTGAAGGACCATGGTAAAACGCAGTGGCCATTATGTCCTCCCGAAATAAGCCACCCAACTAAACAAATCGCCATGGATAAGGAAATGTTTTAGTCCTTAAGTATATAGAGAGTACCAACGGAGACGCGTCCACCCGCAGGTCGCGGAGGTCCCAAGCACCTCCGCACACCCCTGCTTAGCCCTACGCGACTCACGCGAACCCGAATGACATCAGCACTAGAAGCTTCCGATCACGCATCTCCACCACAAACACCAACACTTCCAGACTTCCAGACATCCACAACACGAAGCTACTCTTCACCAACTACCAATTGCATATAGCTCCGAAACCCGCGTAATTCGGCGTGAAGTACAATTACAACAATGGCTTCCACAGCAGCAGCAAAAAGGAAGCTCGTCGTATGTGGTGGTAACGGGTTCCTAGGTACGCAATTGACCAGCATCCCTAATTATTTATTTCGCACGAAGCATACAACAACACCGCCCAACACTAAGCTAACACATTCCCCCAGGAAGCCGCATATGCAAAGCCGCCGCCCACAGAGGCTGGACCGTAACCTCAATATCGTAAAAAAAACCCCTCCCCATCCATCGTCCCCCCTTCCACACATATCCCTAACTTTCTCTAGCCGTTCCGGCACCCCCCACTGGTCCTCCGTCTCCTCCTCTCCCACACCCCCAGACTGGGCCGAAAAGATCTCGTGGCAAAAAGGCGACATACTGGACCCGGCATCGTACACGCAGCACCTTGAAGGCGCAGACGCCGTCATACACAGCATGGGTATCCTGCTCGAGGCCGACTACAAAGGCGTCATCAGCGGACGCGAGAGTCCGATAAAAGGGCTGCAGAGAGCATTTAGTCGCACGAAAGCTGGGACGCAGAATCCGCTGGCGCGGAAACAAGGCGAGAAGTTGGAGCCACAGGAGAAGGATGGACAGTTGACGTATGAAGTCATGAATAGAGATACAGGTAAGTGGGAATTCTTTTCGGCCTTGTTGAAAGTCTGCAATGCTTTTATTTTGTCATGGTATATGTGAGGAGCTAACTAGATGGCAAAAAAACAGCTGTTTCCCTAGCTCAAGAAGCATCGACGCGAAAGGTACCGAACTTCGTTTACATTTCTGCTGCGGCGGGTACACCGATCCTTCCTGCACGCTACATCACTACGAAACGCGAGGCCGAGTCTCTGATTTCCACGACATTTCCCACTATGCGATCGATTTTCATTCGGGCGCCCTTCATGTACGATAGTAGTCGGACTTTTACACTCCCCATTGCGGCGGCTGGTGGTGTAGCGAGCATGATCAACAGCGCAGTCGGAGGTCGATTGACGTGGTTGATGGGCGCGGGGGGTATAAAGCCTCTGAAAGCCGATCTTGTTGGTGAAGCAGTGGTGGAGGCGTTGGAGGATGATGATGTTCGCGGTCCAGTGGAAGTGCCGGAGATTGAGAGACTGGGCACGCGGGCGTGGAGAAAGAACATGTTGTAGAGAAGACTCGGCGTCTGGAGGGAAATGCGGGCATGTTGAACTGTACGGCCTACGAAGCCAGACAGTCTCTTTTTGGTGCGCAGCATTCGCAACGTTAAAATGCGCCACACATAACGCCAAAAGCCCTTTGTGCAATTCAAACTCACTTCTTCCGGCTGCCTGAGCTTACGAGTTTCTTCTTCATATGCTTAGGCATTTTTTCTTTCCGTTTCTCACGCTTCTCTTCTTTAATCGCCTTCTTATGCGCTACCTTTTCATCGTGGTCAAGGTGCTTCTTGCCACGGCTGGGGCCCTTTTCAAAGATACTCTGGTCAACCTCGGACGTGTCTGAGCTTCCGTCATCGGTATCAGCATCCGTATGCGACCCATCAGACGCGTTGTTGACGACCTTGTCGGCCAGAAGAGCCTGGTACGGTAGATCGGAACCAGCGCCGGCGTTAACCAGCTCAGCATCACGCTCAATGTCGTAGACTTGGTCGAGCGTTTGTGGGATATACTGGTTGTGGAAAACCTCATCATCCTCGTCTTCCTTTTTCTTCTCTTCCTCGGTCAAAGGTCTTGTATTGAGCAGTTCGCGGATTGTGTCTTCAATCTGTGATACGTTTTTCATATCCTTTGCGCCTGATGCACCAGTAACAAATGCGTATGCTTTGCGCTCGCTGAGAGTCTCCACGTTGCGTGACCGGAAGAAATCAGACAGATTCTTCAGGTCCATGCGCAAAAACTCGAGCGAACGGGGGTGATCGTGCTCAACGGCTTGTGACACGTCGATCATCCATTGCTTGCCCTCGTGGTACAAGATGTTGTACTCGCTCAGATCGGCGTGAACAAGGCGGCATGTCTGGTACAGTATCCGGACATAGGCCATCATCTGGACATATAGGCTGGTCCACTTCGCATCCTCCTCGTCGGCGGTCAAGCCCTCAAAGCGTACGTCCTTGAGTCGCGGTGCTGCTTTGCCCTTTCGGTCGCCGACAAAGCCCATTACCAGAACATGGTTCCGCAGGGCATAGGCCTCGGGTGAGGGGATATCCGCATCATGTATTCTGGCCAAATTTCTGCGCTCCTTGTCTGCCCACATTCTCACCATAGCGCGGTTGTTGCTTTTGTTGTATCCTTGTCTGAACCTAAACTCACCCTCGACGTACTTTGCACGATCCTTGAAGACAAGAATGGAGGTCTTATAGACCTTTACGGCGCGATGGACGGGGGGTGCGCCTTCTTCCGACGGCTCTGACATAGCATGGTAGACGTTTGCTTCTTTGCCAGTAGAAATAACACCGTGAAGTTCGGAAATGACGCCACGGTTGATTAGTTGCAACAGAATCATTTGCGTCCTTCGATCCAACACCTGCTCTGTCGTGGCACGATCTGCTTTGTCCTTGTCCCTTGCATTGCCACCAGATGCGCCTGTCATCCGCCCCGTAAGCCGGATTTTGCTTGCATGTTTCGCGAGTGAGGCAACTTGGTCATCGATGGAAGCGTTTGTATTTGCCGACGGCTTCTGAGGGTTCGTCTTGGGCTTGTGGTCGTCTGGTATGTTGGCATCGTTCAGTTTTCGCTGGCGGTTGTAGGCCTTTGTAAAGTCGCCATGGTCGCCAGAAATTAATTCTGGCACAATTTCGTCGTCGTCGTCGAACAAATCGTCTATATCGTCATCTTCGTGTTGCTCGTCTGCACGGTGCTCTTCTACGTCCTGGACTGGTTGCGCTTGCTGTTCCGGCAACTCGACTCCGTTTGTGGTAGCCATGGCTGAAAATTGCACAAAAGTGTGTGTGAGAGTGCACAGAAATTAATATTCGCCGCCCTGCGTCACTAGCAATAATTATTGTCGGCAGAATAGCGGGGTGGCCGCGGGGCTAAAGCGGTCAGCGCCACAATCAACCGAGTACTTTTGTTCGCACAACATTGCCACATGACTGCATCACTATGCGAACCAGGAAGCCCTGTTAGTTTCCCAAGGCTCTGGTGAGATATACGCTATTGTTAGGTATAGAGAGTCAGTCAGGTAAACATCGAATCCAGTGCTGTCAGTCCATCGGCAGATGAAACCAAGTATGTCATCCGCAGTGCGACGAGTGGCGACGCTATCTGCAACAATGGTACTAACCATGTGATATGGAACAGAAGCGCAAAGAGAAGATCACAAAAACATACGATAAAGAAGGATTTCTAGAAGTTGCCCGCCAAACTGGATAGTTATGCTAGTTTCCCGGGTTCATGGTTATTTGTACTACATATGTACTTAGAGTTTCAAAGTACAAACTATATCGTCAGTGAGAAAAGAGGCTCGTGGCTACTTGCACGACCAATGACTATCCTGACTCTAGAGGGTGAAGCAAGCAACAAAAGGCGGAGACAAATATACTGCTCCATGTGGCGTGAGTATAAAGCCGTGAGGGAAGGGCGTAATCATGCATATTGCGTAATGATTAGGTGATAGCAGTTCGATACGGATTGACAAAGTACGTGGCACCCGAGCATCTGTTATTGTAGGAATCCTCTTGCTAAACAAGGCCTCCTGGGGTCTGACTATGCATCTTCTAATTTAATCTCACAACGGCTGCGCGATGCTGCAAGTAAGCCTGGGCAAATATAGCGTTTGAAGCCGTTTGAAGCTCCATGTGGTAATGCCCTAGCTTCATGCGGTCGCACGTGTACTTGCGCAACTCTGGTGTGTCAAGCACACCACACTTGCCTCATCACAGTACGATAATAAGTTCAAACAACTTTTACAAACCACTAGCCTCACCATACAAACAAGCTTCCACGCGTACTCTATACTGATCTAAAGTGTCCAAGGACGCTGGCAAACGTAGCCGCTCAGCACCATCAGCAGATTAACATAGCCACACATCTTGGCAACGGCGGGCGGCTCTTTTGGCAACGCAACAGCCAACACCCAAGCGCTAGGGCTGCCTATCCGAAAATCTTCCCTCACAAAGAAAGAAGCGATCGTCAGGGCAGCTGATCACTGCGTCACTCGTTCAGAGGGGTAGGGAGGTATGATCTCATAACCAAGATGATAGCGCATAAAGGAAAGACCAAATGCGCGTCGTTGGGCATCTCACTCCGAGGAGCAGATATGGCGCAGTTTGTGCCTGTTGTGCATACAGTCAGACGAGATGCATCTACGGCGCAGCATTACACCACATCCAGATGCACATTCTCGAAGGAAGGAAGGAAAATCCGGTTCAGCTTCCGTGGCCCCTCGCCTCCCAATCTCCACAGCACCGCCGCATCGCTTGCCACGCCGTCGGTCGCACGCGTATAGTTGTGCCAGAGGACGAAAGACTGGTTGCGGTAAGGTGGCTTAGAGGCAGAAACATTAGCCAGGTACATCTGGAGTCCGATAGGCTGAGCCGGAGATGCCGCTACGACTGCGGCGGGTGGTTGGCACTTCTGACACAGCCTAGTATCCACCCCACGGCTCGTGAAACACATCAGGAGTGCGGCTCAGGGTCACGCCTGGCCACTCAGATCTACACAGCGATGAATCGGGAGACTGCATGAATGAATGCCAGTGGCTGCATGGCCTGACTGGCTGACGACTAATGCCTGGGCAAGGGGATTGCGTCGTGCATAATTTCGCGACTTTTATGGTCGGATCTTCCTGCATGCTGTTTGTCTTTCTTACAATTCCCTTACCTTGTCTTTTCTTCGTGCGCCATTCTTTGACCTATTTTTTTGGTCATTCACACATTCTCTTCAACCACTTTCCTTTGGACGCAGGGCGACCTTGCTCAAACTCTCCTTTCTTGCCTTTCAAGTGATTCTTCTGTGAAGATCACGTTCGCTGCGAACCCCAACGCTTACATTCTTTACCGAAAACCCTATATTCCGAATCTCCATCTATATCAGAAATGCGCTTCTCAACTTACTCCACCGCGAGCGTGTTGGCCGCTTTGGCCTCTGCTCAAACCTTCACCGATTGCAACCCTATGGAAAAGACTTGCGCCAATGACCCTGCCATGCCTCAAACCTGGGAGACGGACTTCACTGCTGGCAAGGATGCTATCAAGGGCTGGAAGCAGACTGCAGGTGACCTCACCTATGGACCAGAGGGAGCCGAGTTTACCGTGGCCAAGAAGGGCGATGCCCCAACCATTGGCTCTGAAGGATATCTCCATTTCGGTTACGTCGAAGTTGTCATGAAGGCCGCTCCGGGTACCGGCATCGTTTCATCTATCGTTCTCCAGTCTGACAACTTGGATGAGGTCGACTGGGAATGGATTGGAGGCGTCGACAGCCGTGTGCAAATGAACTACTTTGGCAAGGTAAATTTTTCCCAACGAAATGCAACTGAAACTATGCATGTTGCAGAAAAAGAAAAGGAAAAAGCTAACAAAACCGCCAGGGTAACACAACAACCTACGACCGCATGATCGAAGCCGACGTGGTCAACAACCAAAAAGAGTTCCACAAATACGCCCTAAACTGGACCTCATCAGCCCTAACCTGGATCATCGACGACAAGCCCATCCGTACCCTCAACTTCGCCGACGCAAACGGCGGCAAAAACTTCCCCCAAACCCCTTGCAATGTCCGCCTCGGCAACTGGCCCGGCGGCGACTCCAAAGACGAAGGAACCCGCCAATGGGCCGGCGGCAACGTCACCTACGAGAATGCTCCCTTCACCATGACGGTCAAGAGCGTAAAAGTCATCAACTACTCCCCCGGCAAAGAGTACGAATGGACCGACAAAACCGGTAGCTTCCAATCCATCAAGGTCCTCGACGCCGGCAACAAAGACGGCGCCCCCATCAACGCTTCTCCCATCACCAAGCCTGTAAATGGCACCCAGCCCCCCCTCGAAGCAGGCGTCGACGCCCCTGCTGCGAGCGGCGAGGCAGGCTCAGGAAGCGGAGCAGACAAAGAAGAGCCATGTGACTGTGGAACTGCATACGTAACCGTCACCGCGCCTCCTCCTGGCGCCTCTGCTCCTCCTGCTACCACCGCGCCTCCAGCCACCATCACGTCGACTTACGACGCTGTCCCCATTGAGAGCGCAAAGAGCATGTTGTCCTCTATCATTCGCTCTTCGTCTGCTGGTCTGGCGATTGATACCAGGTCCGCACCTGGTGTACCCATGCCTACTGCGCCCACTGGTGCGATTCCTCTGCCCCAAACTAACGGCACTGGAACAGCGGTTGCGCCGCCACAGTTTACGGGTGCGGCGGGTAGGGTTGCTGCTGGGGGGTTGGTTGGTGCGATTGTCGGTGCGGTGGTGATGGTGTTGTAAATTTGAGGAATGAGGTAGGGTGGAGAATGTATGTGAGACATGGTTGATGTAGATTTTTTTTTGGATATACATAGAGAAACTTACGTTCGTTATTTTAACTTTTTCTGTAAATACTTAATTTCGATGAAGGGACCCCATTTTTCGGGCAGCTTTTTTTTTGGATGTGAAGATTGGCTTTCTCTTCTGCTTTTCTTTTCTTTTTCTTTTCAAAACGTCTTTTGGGGTTTTGAGATGTGGGGGGTGGATGATGATGTGTTTGTCCACTGCTGTACAGTGAGTCGGTACGAATGAATAAGTGTGTAACTAGCAATCCTAAGTTGCTATGGATCGGGGAGAACTGACGATTGCATTCCCCACGCTTTGTTTGATGTTTCGATGCTCGTTTCGAATTGTGACTTCGTGGCGCATCTCACTGGCTCGACTTTGTTTTTCTTTATTCCATCTTGGTTCGTGTGGAGTGTTTGAACGGGATTAATTAGTGTTGTAGCGGAGTCAGGACGAACGCTGTGGCAACTTGATCGACTTGGGGGATCTTTATGCCTTCAGTCGGACATGACGTTGCAGTTCTCTTTTGAACTTTAGGCGGGACTCGTGTGTAACGGTGGAGTATAGGACGAGATGGAAAGTGCATACCGGGGTCAAAAGGGTTCCTGCAACGAGGTCGATGTCGGTTTCTTCGTACGCTTTTGCATTGCTACACATGTCCCGACGGGCTCGAGTGTTGGTATTCTATTCAAAAAAAACCCTTGAGGATTTAGTAGTCATTCGTTCTGAGATTGGGAGCTGGCTTTCCTTATTGCGCATGTCTCTGTCTTTCTCTCTTGGTCGCCCAAAAAGTGATAGAATTTTCTTTTCAGCAAAGGAACCGTATATACAAAGCTCGCTGTGGTGAATAAATTATTAATTTGGCAGTACGTCCTGGATCTGGCAGTGTGCTGTGCTAAGAAAGTTTCTGGTGTTAATCTTCCAGCTGGTCGTGGCGGGCGCAATCTGGAATAGGTAGTGCATCGTGTACATAGGAGAATATGGCTGCTGTTGGTTCTTCGAGCCCGCGCCTGAGAGATAGGTATCTTCAGAATCAGAACTGCATTGCTGGAGGTCGAGATCAAGTGTTGACAGAGAAGTGTGTTTGATTTTAGGAATACGAGTGTATATAGAGTTCTAAGCCTCCATGCATCGTTATTAAAGGTTTATCATGCGTTCGCACATGAGTCACAGGCTTGTATGCGCTTGAAAAATGGTAGAGTCGATGAGACGTTTGTCTGAGTCGTTCTAAAGGGCATCAACGTTACTTCCTTCACTAGCAATCAAACAAGTGCCACGAGAATGTAACGAGGCTGTGCAAGTGAGAGATGTTGCAGGAATCAGAAATATATATGTTACAGAAGCTCTATGGAAGTAGTATGCCGCAAAAGGTTGGCTTTCCGATTTGCTTAATCGAGCATAATATTGCCTGAAGCCAAGTGATATAGTTCTGATTCTTGCGAACCTAGGACTAAAGTAAGTAGTGTTCAATGTGGCATTGACGTTGAAACATGGTTGGAGTTTGCAATGCGATGAACGAATGTACTTGAACCGGATGTTTGGCATGGATCCTGCATTGATTGTGTAATATTGGTTGAGGCTAGGGACAGTCGCGTGTATGTAACTGCACAAGTGGTCGTCGATTTAGTCTTCACCGTCTCTACCACTTGATTGGAGGATGCACGACTGGCCAAGTAACCCAGGCCGCCAGCGAATGACCAAGCAATGGTTAAGCATAGGTCAAGCCATGCATCTCGGCTCGTGAAAAAACAAACTATATTCATCGGGACGGGCTGCGTGGGCTGTACACCACGCGGATTCTGACCAGTAGCTGCTGCCCACGTGCAACATGGGTCGCATCAGGCGCCCGAGATGCAAAGGGTCCATTCTCCGGCGGCTGGGAGACAAACTTAAAAAACGTGGGATGATACTGAGTGGTTGCTGGCGTAAGGTATAGAGGATGATGCCATGCAAATACTAATCAATGTGTGGGAGAGTGCATGGGAGGCGAGGAGCTTGTGCAATTGGCCCAGCCTCGCCTCTCGTCGCCAGTCATCAACCACAGCCAGACAATGCCTCACATCGCAGCACATGCGACGCGATCTACATCTTCTACCCGCCAGCCCCAGTTCGCGCCAAAAAGGTGCGCGGTCGCCGTCCCAATTTGTGAGCAGTGCCACGCGCTAGGCTCAGGAATTTATCAAAACGTAACGGTTCGGGAGTTTCGCTTCGGACGGGCACGTTTTGAAACGGACGAGCGCCGTCATCTCACCATTGTTTTAGGCATGAGCCAAGAAACATCACACCAACACCATTACGCATCTGACACAACTGACAAGCCATGGCAGCCCTCACCATGTCATGTTTGCCTGGGTGCTTTGCAATTGTTGCTGGCTAAGCCGCCAAAGGCGCAGGCCTGCGCGTGCACATCACACTTGCAATCCCACTGGTGGCTCGTCATCTGCCCCAGGATAAGTCAGCATCCTTGCTGATGGGGGCGCTTTTTCTTTCTAATATTAGGCAATATTTGATATGTGGCACGCCCAAGGTGTCGAGAGTTTGCAATAGGCCCCGAACATGTCCTACCCAGGTCGGGAAAGACGACTCAGCCGCACACGGTGCTTGCTCGGAATGTATAACACTATGCTGCAACGCCAAATGACAATTGCTACTACTCCTGCTTCTTCACTCGAGATTGATTGTTCCTGTGGAATTTGACTGAGATGGGTGTTACACAATACCTTCGTCGCACAAGACCCGCGTCACAGCCGTCGACCACCACAGTATTAACAGGATGCTGGCCGCTTTTTGCCATCTCTTTCTTACTCTCCGCGCTGTCCATTACTAACCTGGGGCTACTGAGCTCCATGGTTGCATGGCTACTCCGACAAAAACACAATGTGCATACGTATCAAGTCGACTGGCCGGGAAACGAAACAAAACTGAACGTGGAGCCAAAGAATCTATGGGTGGACCATGGCCATGAGAGTAATGGTGCGGCGGCGTATGGATTCTTCGTGGGCCTCTTTGGCATGGTCACAGCATGGAGGATGCGGAATGCTCAACGGGTAGGTTCAATCCATGTATCCTCCCAAGTGGCATCCAGTATACTGACGATTATGAGCAGCGCCTAAAGAGTCTTACTGCACTCGCTGTCTTGCTCTTTCTCGCAGTTTTATTCACCCTGTCGTGCTTCATCTTCGCCTTCGTGGTGACGTACCAGACAACAGGTCAGCGCATCCGTGAGCCTGTTGCCGTTAACACGGTTGGGATGAACTACCCGGAGTTTCGTTGGACACCCGAGACTTGGTTCAAGGCTGTACGGGATCTCCCTCTTGCGGATCGGTCTACGCGCAGTGAGATAGAGGACAGGATCAGAACTATGGTAGCATGGCGGTGGATGCTGCTTGTGATATTCTTCGTGGATGTCGCCGCATTTAGCATAACAGCAATGGCTTGGTTGAAGCAGCGGAGGGGTGTGGCAGCGCGGCCAGGGTCTAGAGATTCTACTGAGAAGTAGGAGCGCGTACTCGGAATCAGGTTTTTGAAGGATACCCATGCAGAACGTGGAACGAATATACTACTATATTGGTCATTCCCCTGACCATTCTCACATGCAAAATACATATGTACACATGACTACATACACTAGCCCGAGGAACCTTGCAGCGCTCGGAGGGTGGGCAGAACGCGTGACACACTCACGCCTCAGGCCAACGGCACATGGGATCGACTCCGTGCTTATATGTGAGATTCCCCAGTCAGACATTGTCATGTATTTACAGCAGCGTAGAGTGGTGCAAGGTCTGAACTGAGGCCTGGCAACCCCACAAACGCTTAGCGAGAAGTGGTACTTACGTACCCAGCCCAGTGCGAGACCTCGGCGCATCACCGCTACCACCCATCACGAAAAAAAAAACCTTGGGTCCCGCCAATTCACCTCGAGCCCGCCCTGCTCTCGCGACCACGTCGCCAGTTTCCGCCATGAGCTGGCCTCTCTACCTCGCCATGCCGGCCGTGCTCATTGTGGCCATGCGGCTGCTGTCGCTCGTCTTGCCTGCGAAGCCCGCGCAGCTACTCTCGTATTACGCTTTCGCAGCTAGCTCCTTCATCCTCATGGGTTTCTGTGCCTTGTACGGCACCCTCGTAGCCATACCTCTGCGCATCATTGGGTATGGAGGCCTGATCCAATGGTCGGTGGGACGGGCCTTCAAGTGGTGCATGTGGTACGGAACCGGTGTGACATTTAGGATCACAGGCAGCATGAAGAAGGAGGGTGGTGTTAGCGGCGAGGATGCGCTCAAGGACCGGCCCGCCGTCTTTGTGGGCAACCATCAGACGTAAGTTTTTGCTGCGATTGAGGAAAAGAAAACACAGTGGCAGAGGTGGTGCTAACGTCTGATGTAGCGAACTCGATGTCCTCATGCTAGGCTGCATGTTTCCCAAGTACACATCCGTCACGGCTAAGAAGTCACTCAAGTACACGCCACTTCTGGGTTGGTTCATGGCGCTGTCCAAGACCGTCTTCATCGACCGTGCAAACCGCACCACCGCGCGCGCCGCATTCGACACGGCCGCTCAAACCATGCGGTCGACACGCCAATCCGTCTTCATTTTCCCCGAGGGAACTCGCTCCTACGCCTCCACCCCCGATCTCCTCCCCTTCAAGAAGGGCGCCTTCCATCTCGCCGTACAAGCACAAGTCCCCATTGTACCAGTCGTCTGTGCAAACTACTCGCACGTGCTGAACGTAAAGGAACAGAAGTTTCAGCCGGGCGTGGTTGATGTGACTGTCCTCCCGCCAATACAGACAAAGGGACTGGGTGCTGAGCATGTGGATGATTTGGTCAAGAGGACAAGAGATGCCATGATGGATGAACTGATTCGTCTGAGTCACATTTCTGGCGCTGGTAACGGTGAACCCCTACCCAGAACCAGCGGAATAGACCAGTCGCGCAGTGAGTTGAGGAAGAGGAATTAAGGTAGCATCATTGTCTGAGCCTTTATTGGCTAGGACACCAAAGAGGCGTTCATGGTGTGCAACAAGAGGCCTGGAATAACCACAGTGGTTGCTCGACATCCAACAGCCCGAATAGGAGGCTGAGTGCATACGGCGTGTGTGGCGTTCAGTGGTTTCAGGTTTGGGTTTCCATCACTGCATATTGATATCCTAGAGAAGAGGCATGTTCATTCTCGGGTTGGGCGTATATATCTTCGTGCTCTCTATTCAGCAAATGCAAAAATTCACTTATTCAACAATCTCTCACATGTATGCAGTAAGAGCCGTATTAGATTTCCTGAGTAGGAGGGCAACTTGTGTAGGATTTACGTCACACTAATAGACACGTGAGAAGGTACTAGATTTTGCACAGGTGGTGTATGGGTAGTTGCATACACGCGTCTAGCGAGTGTTATGGTAACAGGAAGAAGAGGCCACGAGCATCTCCAATGGTGCAGATCGGCGCACCTTCTTTGCTTCGCGTAATAAGAGACCGACCTCGGTGCGAGTTGTGTTACCCCACGATTATACCCCTCCCTGCTAGTTACCCAATGCGGCATTCCGACATGCACGCTTGAAGTGTGGATGCGATGGGGGCTTTGTATGGTATATATAGTGATGTAGGTTGACGTGTAAGTTCGCTTGTTTGTTTAGCTAAGTGAGTTGGTTTTTTGGATTGTTATTTTGGCTAAATATTCTTCTGTGAAGTGAGAAGTGCAAGTGAGTAAAAAGGCAGAAATGACAGGCGGACAAGAGTACAATGTGTGGGGGAAGAGTGCGATAGTTACGGGTGCTGGGTCTGGTATGTTACAAGTCCCCTATCTTCATCTGATTTCCTTACTAAACTTCGAATCAAACTTTAGGTATCAACTTCTGCTTCGCTGCCATACTACTCAAGCATGGCTGCTCCGTTCTAATCGCCGACCTTGCACTCCGACCTGAAGCACAGAAGCTCGTAGATGACTATAGCAAAAAGGAGGAAGGCAAACCACAAGCAATCTTTCTCAAAACAGATGTTACCGACTGGCCCCAACTAGAGCGTATGTTCACCGTCGGCGTACAAGAATTCGGTCAAGTCGACATTGTCTGCCCTGGAGCCGGTATCTACGATCCCCACTGGACCAACTTCTGGCACCCACCTGGCGTCCCTGGCGGCAAGAGCAGAGACGATCCCAACGGAGGACGATATGCAAGTATCGACATCAACGTCACGCACCCAATTCGCACAACTCAACTAGCCATTTCGCACTTCCTGAATCCCCCGCCTGGCGTGCAGAAAGTAGGGCCTCAGAACCCCAAGCGCGTCATCATCGTCTCCAGTATAGCAGGACAGAACCCGAATTTCCACGCTCCAATCTACGTCGCTGCTAAACATGCCATGAATGGGTTTGTCCGCTCGTTGGCTCCGCTAGAAGCTGAGTTGGGTATCAGAGTTAATGGTGTGGCACCCGGTGTTATCAAGACACCGCTATGGACTGAGCACCCAGAGAAAATGACATATCTGGACTTGGAGAAAGATATATGGGCGACACCCGAAGAAGTGGCAGAAGCAATGTTGAGGTGTTTGCAGGAGGCTGAGTTTGGTGGAGGCACAATTCTTGAGGTTGGCGCGAAACAGACGAGAAAGGTTGAGGCGCTGGTATGTTACTACTGTCTTTAATACCTTTTTTTGTGTTGTTGAATGTGCTAATCATGTGGGAATAGAACGATCCAGGTCCGAGTGGCCCAGGACATACAGTCAGCAATATGGAGGAGCAGTATAAAGAGGTGTATGGGTGGTTGGGAGAGGTGGGATGGGGTGTTGGGAAGACGAAATTGTAATTGTATCCATTTTTACTGATTAGCGGTGCAAGTACTATTACCATTTTGGAAGCAATACTGCCAGATACGAAATTTGCGGCACGGGTATTATGGAATTCGTCCGTCGTCAGGTATGGGCTTGCATGGACCATGAGGCTGTTGGACCGGCTATTGAGGGTGCTTGGTCAGATGCCGGCGGTCGGACCACAGTGCTCCGGAAGGCTAGAATTCAGCATCGTGACAATGTAAGTACTATGTACAACGGTAGAAGTAGGCAAAAGACGATTCTGACGTTGGCCGTGCACGGTATCGCATCAGAGGGGACCCCCCTGGTTGGTATTGCGGGCCATTTGGCAAATATGAGATCATTGGGTGGTGCGAGGGCCAGGTGTGCGGGCAACGAAGTTTGATAGCACCGGGCCATTTGGCCATGGCTTCAGTAGAGCGGCTGCACCGGGTCAAGGGCGTCGGCCGGTAGCTGACTGTTGACCTGAGGCATGCTGATTGATTGTGGGATAGCTAGCCTATGACCGAGTCGCTGGCCGGGCGTTGCCACTTGTGACGCTGAAGCCATTTTTCCATGGAGGGGCTCCTTGAGCGGGAGGGGCGCTAATACGTATGAAAGTGCTCCACCGCCGCAGCAACTCTCAACTGGCATCTTTCTTCTCGAACTCTCTTCTCTCCATCCATCATCCCCTTTGAACCGTTGATCCCCTCCGTTTCAAAGCAAAAAGCAAATACACAATCACTTATATATACCCATCCACATAATCAAAATGCCTAGCTCTCTCGATCAACTCAAGGCCGCTGGCACCGTAAGTTGTTACCCCCACGCCATCGCGACAACCCGCGGAAGAATTATTATATCTGACAAAACTTTGTCCTGCAGACCGTCGTCGCCGACTCTGGTGACTTTGCTACCATCAAGAAGTACCAGCCCCAGGATGCGACGACCAACCCTTCGCTCATCCTCGCCGCCTCCAAGAAGCCCGAGTACGCCAAGCTGATTGACGCCGCTGTCGCATACGGCAAGAAGAACGGCACCGACATTGAGAACCAAGTCGATGTCACTCTCGACAATCTCCTTGTCCAGTTCGGCAAAGAGATCCTCCAGATTGTCCCCGGCAAGGTCTCAACAGAGGTCGACGCCCGCTTCTCCTTCTCCACCGAGCAGTCTGTAAACAAGGCCCTCCGCATCATCGACGTACGTCTGCACTAAAAAAACCCTAATTTGAAAGAACAAGACAAAAGAATTCGTATGCTGACTCTGTGCAGCTCTACAAGGAGGCTGGCATTGACAAGGAGCGCGTTCTCATCAAGCTCGCCTCGACATGGGAGGGCATCAAGGCTGCTGAGATCTTGCAGTCCAAGCACGGTATCAACTGCAACCTTACCCTCATGTTCTCTCAGGTTCAGGCCATTGCTGCCGCTGAGGCCGGTGCTTACCTCATCTCTCCTTTCGTTGGCCGTATCCTTGACTGGTACAAGGCCGCTAACAAGAAGGAGTACACCAAGGAGGAGGACCCTGGTGTCAAGAGCGTCCAGCAAATCTTCAACTACTACAAGAAGCACGGCTACAACACCATTGTCATGGGTGCCTCTTTCCGCAGCATTGGCGAGGTCACTGAACTTGCTGGCTGCGACTACCTGACTATTGCCGTGAGTAACACCCTCTAAAACACAGCATTCCGTCCAATTCACTAACAGACCTAGCCCAACCTGCTCGAGCAACTCTACAACTCGGAGGATGAGGTCCCCAAGAAGCTCATTGCCGAGGATGCTAGCAAGCTTGACATTGAGAAGAAGAGCTACATCAACGACGAGGCCGAGTTCCGCTTCTACTTCAACGAGGACCAGATGGCCGTCGAGAAGCTCCGTGAGGGTATCTCGAAATTCGCCGCTGACGCAGTTACTCTCAAGGATATCCTCCGCGAGAAGATCCAGGCGGCATAAATTGCAGGTCCGATACCGGCCCAGAGATGAGTTTACGATATAATTAGCTTTTTTTTCACTCCAGCTCGAGCATTGAGACTTGATAGGAGGTTCGGATGGCACGTAGATAAAAAAAAATGAAGCGTGAAAACCCGATACATTTGCAAGACACTATGCGTGCCTTAGTGAAACACTATGAATGCGTTGGCTGATGATAGCATAACTAAAGCTGAGGCAGCTGAGGCAACTAGAGGGGCTGGAACTGCGGATTTATCATCACTCGCCGGTTCTGGTTCGGCTTTACTGGTTGTGTCGACAGCTCTGGCGGGTCTGGCGGGTCTGGCGGACGTTGCGTCACTAGAGAGCCCCGCATTGAAAGCTTACCCGAGCGGAAGCTACCTTCTCTTCCCCCCTTCTCTTCAACTATTCACTCAATTCCTCAAGCCCAAAAGAATACATCGAACTCACCAATTCCCCCATCAATACCAATCACATAACCGTCACAATGGTCAAAGCCGGTAAGTCTTACAGCCAGTAGCCGCACGAGCTTACCCAGGTGTGGCAAGGTGGGGTCATCCGGGTGCGTGAGATTGAGCAGATTGTTTAAAAGACACCATATCTAGCGGTATCAAACGGGCCAGAAAGGGGGAAATAATTGGGCAAGATTCGTATTGCGAGGACCATGTTGTCCCTTCTAGAAGCCTATCCCAAGCTCGTTCCCCCCATTCATGGCTGCTTGATTCGCGGTCTGCTCCAATCAGCTCGGTGAACGCGAAACACCCTGATGGCCTTGTCATCCCAAGTGGAAGAAGGAAGAGGGATCAAGCGGATAGACCCGAAGATCGTCAGACAAACAGACTTTGTGCTAACATGTAAAACACGCAGTCGCCGTCCTCCGTGGAGACTCCAACATCAAGGGAACTGTCACCTTTGAGCAGGCCGACGAGTCCTCCCCCACCACCATCTCATGGGACATTACCGGCCACGATGCCAACGCTGAGCGTGGCATGCACATTCACGCCTTCGGCGACAACACAAACGGCTGCACATCTGCTGGACCCCACTGTGAGTTTTGCGGTGCCCTTCCGGTTCCCACATGCGAGCGTTGCCTGCTAAGACATATGTACAAATAGTCAACCCCCACAACAAGACCCACGGTGCCCCCAGCGACGAGGAGCGCCACGTCGGTGACCTGGGCAACTTCAAGACTGACGGCCAGGGCAATGCTAAGGGAACCGTCACCGATAAGCTGATCAAGCTGATTGGCTCCGAGAGCGTCATTGGCGTATGTTTCTGTCCTACTTTTACCCACAATGTAAAGACTAACGACGTTTTGATAGCGCACCATTGTCGTCCACGCCGGCACTGACGACCTTGGCAAGGGTGGCCACGAGGAGTCCAAGAAGACTGGTAACGCTGGAGGCCGTCCTGCTTGCGGTGTCATTGGTATCTCCAACTAAGAATTGTATACGACGTATAAATAGAGAATTCGAATGGGTCCCTGAGCTCATGCAACATGGAGTAGCTCACTTGCCGACGTAATCATGAAGCAGCCCAAGAAAGAGGGCATGGATGGGACTGAGTAGCCAAGTTGGTTTTTGTACTACGGTAGATGAATTGATCCCTCTGTCCTGACAATTATTGCTGCTTTAGGTGCATATTGCGATTGGTCCTATGTGTGTTTCGTGTGAGGAGAAATGCGATCTAATCACTTTAAGAGTATCTCCTCTTATGAGCCACAGCCATGCTGAGTTGTTGGAAATCTCTTCCTTCGGGTAGCACTGCTCATGGATTTTGATCATGATATTACTGAATACGTGCTAATACTCAAAACAAGGAAGATAGAATATTACACGAGATGAGCCTTGTTTAATACTTATGTGCCCAAGTTTTAGAGATGTTTGATGACAATGTTAGTAAAATCATACCAGCTACTAAATCCTTTTCTTCTTTTCACACGTGTAATACACAAATAAAACACTAGGTTGCCAAAGGCGGAGGAGGGCAGGCACATCACTTATCACAAAAAGAGTGAGGACATGTGAAAAGCGACGGGAAGAAGTCATGTATTCTTGTTTCTTCTTCTTCTTCATATTTTTCTTCTACATAAATTTACTAATCGCCATTAACCACAACCCGCCAGTTCGCCTGTTCTGCATCTGCAATCCCTGTTGTTGAGTTGCAGAAATAGAGATGACCAAATCTCTTTTCTTTTCTGGCAGAGGAAGAGAGGGATAGGGGACAGATCTCGCATTATACCACATCATTCTCTCTAACGGCTGGACGTTTTGCTCAGAAGAGAGAAGACGTTGGGAGTGAGATATGGTATGGGCATTCAATGTACACATACGCACACCCTTTTGTCTAAAGACAATGGCCAAGGGGCATAAAGATCCCAACCTCCCAACCACTATTTATTCCGTTGGTAAAAAAGAAGGCGAAGAAGAAGCAGTAAGATGTGTCGAATGGGGAGGGGTATCGATGCTTGTAATCCTTAGCGGCCCAAAAAAGGAAGAAAAAAGCTGGATGTGCTTCTTATTCGGCGAGACCGCTCAAACTGTATATGCGCGGCCATATGGTCGTTATGCACAAAAGAGGAAGAACCGACAGATGTACATGGTTGTAGATTATACCTTTTTTGAACCGTTCCTTGCTTCCAAAAATGTTGGGGGAAGGAAGGAAAGGAGGAATGGACAGTTGTGTGCGGGACCAAGAAAGGGAAAAGACTAGACAAAAGAAGGGCCGCACGCTATTTTCTGCTGCTTTGCTGTTTGCGATTCAAAAGAAAAGTGGTTAGTAGAGGACAAGGGTTGCACGCAACTACCATGTTAGGAATGATCCCTAATGGGAGATGCGGCATGAGGTTGCCATCTACCCATTGTGGTATAGAGTACCCTCATTCTCACAAGTTGACAACACGCGTGTCATCGTTGAGAAATTCGCGGCGATATCGCGCGATCTCCTCGGCAATACCGTTTGGATCTTTGACGTTCTTCGAGCGGAGCTCCTTAAGTACGTTGCGAAGACCGTCATTCCATCTTTGTCTCTCCTCGGACGTCTTGCCGGGGTTTGCTGTTCCGAGCTGGAGAAGCAGCTTGTCACCTGTATGAAAATATCTAGTCAGTCTGCGTACAACTGAGGGGGACAAAACAACGATCAATGGTAGAAACTCCTTTTGTTCGACAACGCACCAGTGATAGTCGCATCCCTGAAATGCTGATCGGGGCATTCAGGGTCATTGCAAGCGCCACCCGCCGACTCGTATTGGCAGAATGGCTTTTCAGGATCTATCTGGTGACTAAATGTCAAGGACATGAAGCCTCCAGACACATCTTTTGAATAACTCGGATGATAGCGATACGACTTGAACATTCGAAGCGGACTTTGGTACGGCTTAAATGGGGCCGACTCTTCTTCCTCATCAAGCGTGGGGGCCTGTTCCATCTTAGTCAAGCTCTGTAAGGGAAGCTACAACATACAGGTTGCACATTGTCCACCACTGAGATTGTCTGTGGTTGCAACTCAGGTGCTAGATCGTCAGCGACATTGTTGTCCTGATGAGCCAAATTGTTCCCTGAGATAATATCGTCAGCTTCAGAGTCAGATTCAGACTCTTCATCCGAGTCAGAGTCATCCGAGCTGTCATCAGACGATGTAGCAATATCCATGGCACCATCGTCTGCTTCGGTCTGGCGTGCTTGCGGGACACTATCCGACGTGGCGGTCTCATTTGGAACATCTGCCATATCTTGATCAGCTTCAGGTGGTTCGTAAGCCTCTTCATCTTCTGCGGACATGTATGAAGTGGTTATGGAAGGCGCAACATTCAGCTGTGAGTCGTGAGGTTCTTCTGTTGACGCATTCCCGACAGCTGCGTGTTCTTCTGGGTCATATTCTGGTTCATATTCTTCCTCTTCCTCGTCGTCCTCTCCCTCGGAAACAGACATCTCGACTTCCCCTTCTGACGGAGAAGGTGCGGCAGAGGGCTGAGCGACTGCTGGCGTACTAGCAACGTCTGTGTTGGAGCTGGCCGGCTGAGCGGCAACATCCTTTTCAGCCGGGGGTGTAGGGCTGTAGAAATCTTCACCCATGTCCCTATCCGAAGCAATGACCGAGCTCTGCGACCTAGACGCTCTAGCGTAGTCGTCTTCTGCTGTTTGAGCGGCGCCGTTTCCATTCGACATCGTTTCTAATCTTTGGTGTAGGTGAGTCTGATTCGTGACGGCATGGTATTGATGCTGAGCTTGAGATATGCTCTGTCCAAGGCCTGGAAGAATGGCATGTTTTTGGAAAGGCTGAGCCGAAGGCGGCTGTGAACTAGGGACGCTGCTCTTTGGACTCGAGGGCTCCAAAGATGGTTGTATAGCAAGAGAGGATGCTGTCATCGAGGATCGAGAAGCACGATCCGCATTTTGGGACGAGGCATTGGGTTCTGGCGACTGCTCGCGCTCGATCTCGTCTTTCTTGGCACGGAGCTCTGCATGCGACATGCCCTCTGTATCCACACCGAGAAGTTCCAATTCTTTCGTCAACTGTTCCTTGTCTCTTGCAATCTTGTTGTTAAGCGCCGTCAATTGCTCTAATTCCTTGGCCAATTCAGCCATTCTGTTCGTATTACTTGCTATCTCTGCATCCAAAGTTGGCAATTTAGATTGAATCTCAGCGCGGCGGGAACGGGCAGTGTCTCTGACGACAGTCGATGGGTCTTTGCTCGGAGTACGATTTTGAGGTGGTAAAACTGGCGTGGAAGGCTTTTGGGTTGTCGGCGAGGATACTGCTGCAGCAGAAGAAGAAGCCAATCTGTCCCTTTCGCGTTTTTCAGCGAGCTTCCTCTTAAGTGTTTCTCGCATGGCAACAAGCTGTTTCTCTTTATCCACCAATTCCTTCTCCCGAGCAAGGGTGCTAGGAGTTTGCGATCCAGGCGCGTTATCAGCTGGGGTGGCAGGGAATGCTGGTCTGACAGGGATACCAGGTTTGCGCGGGAGTGCAGGAGGGGCTGGAGGTTCGTCATCGATGTCCATGTCGCTGCCATTGGATTCATCTTCGCTAACCTCTATTATCATGGAATCATCTTCTTGATGGGTATTGGTAGACTGGCCCAAGGGGCGTGTGTATGGAGTGGTGGATTCTCGCGAAACTGATGCTTCGTTCTTTGAAGTAGGCGGTTTCTGAGGCATAGAAAGAGAAGGTTGAGACGGAGTAGGGGCGGTGTTATTGGAGACTGGGGTATGGCTCATGAATAGACCAGGAATCCCTGAAAAGGAAGGTGTGTAGCTTTGGCTTGTAGGTGTGGCCAAGCCACTTGGAGTTGGTTGCGCAACTTGGGCTTGAGGGGTTTGTTGCAAGGGAACAGACGCCTGTGTTGTATTGTTGCTGACCCCATTTGGCGCCTTCTGTCGCGCCTTGATTGCCTCTAATCGCTGTTTGATCAATTCAGTATTCCGAGCCCTTTGCTCATCAGTTACAGGCGGCTTAGTGGTGGGTGTGGAGATTGGTTGGGGAGTCCTGGGCTTGGCCGGTGTTATCGACTGCGATGGGCTTGTCGTCTTGGATGATGCGGCCTGTTTCGCTGCCTTTGCAGCTTGTAGACGTGCAATGTAATCTTTGCGATCACCTGGCGTTGTTGGCGATGCGGCGGCCTTGGTCGAGGGTGCGGGAATGGCGCTTGTTTTGAGCGTGGGCACAGTCTTTTGTTGGGGAGCGGCTATTGGCTGGACAGCTGGTGCGCTCGAGGTAGTGCCGTTTGGCTTGGGTGGCAGAATGGGAGCGGGCTCGGATGGTAGGTTCACGCTCTGGTACAACCCTCTCAGTAGCTCGGCATCAAGCTTCTCATCAGCCAGAGTACGGTATGGGATGTTGTTACTGTGTAGAAGCTTTATGAATTGCCTTGCTGACTCGCGATCCTGCTGTAGTTTTTCCAGCAGCGTGTTTTGGTTTTCCTGTTGCTTGACTGCAGTCTTATTACTCAATCCATTATGTTGGACGGCAGAAGTCGGGGGGCGACCGCCATTGATGTGAACAGGCGGAGGCGGATGAGATGCCATGTCACCTTCGCTCAATTCACCATCCTCGCGGTCGCTATCCATGATTCCTTGTATACGTTCGTTGGTAGGTGGGGGCGCAGTGGTGAACGCAGGTGCAGGCGCGGGTGGTTGGTGTAGAGCGGGAGGATGTGGAGGTCGCTGTGGAAGTGACTGGGGAAAACGGGTAGGCGGTGGGATATTCTGCGGTGTCTGAGGAAGCGACGGCGGAGGAAAGCCCATGGTGGGAAAAGGCGGCGGGGGCAGGTTGGGCGGAGGGAAGGCGCCATTCTGGAAGAGAGCCCATATGTTGGCGTCGGGAGGCAGCTGCGGCGGCCAGGAGGCTGCGCATAGTGTAAGTAAGGCAGCGCGCAAATAGTCTGATGACAGGAAAGTGACTTACGCGCCGGGAATGGGGGCTGCTGGGAGTTGTGCGCATACGAGTTGAAGTTGATGCCAGGCAACTGCTGGAGCGGAGGAGCGGCGCGCTGCTCTTCTGGTGGCGCGCCCTGAGGCGGGGGCATCTGCGGGGGCGGAAAGCCGCTTGGGAAGCCGTAGAAAGGCTGCG